AACAATTTAGTAATGAGCAATTTGGAACCATCAGATGGTATAATGGTTATGTCACTAGTCTTCCAAATAGTCATCCACAGTTTGAGTCCTAGATCCAGCACTTTAAAAATAAAATAAAATAGGGACCAGCAGTTAGCGTAATGGCTATATCGCTGGACTCCCATGTAGCCGACCGCAGTTCGCATCCCAGACCCAGTGGCTTAAAAACTCACACTGGGCACGTGTGCGTGCGTGCCCAAGATCCCGAGAGGAGAATGGAGAAGGGATTGCGGCGTGACCATCCCCCCTGGGGGGTGATTTCTTGCTTTCTGTCTCTATGTCTCTCTCTGTCTGTCTGGCAAGCGCACGCGCCCTATAGTGAAAACCTCTCCAAAAAAAAAAATAAATAAAATAAAATAAAAAACTTGGGACCGGCAGATGGTGTAATGACTACATCACTGGACTCCCATGTAGTCGACTGCAGTTCAGGTTCCGGACCTCGTGACTCAAACTCACACCTGGCCCACGTGTGTGCATGCCCAGGATCCCAAGAGGAGAATAGAGGAGAAGGGATTGCGGCGTGGCCATCCACCCTCGGAGTTGATTCCTTGCTCTCTGTCCCTCTGTTTCTCTCTGTCTTTCTGGCGAACACATGTGCCCTATAGCAAACCCCCCCCAAAAAAAAAACTCACACTGGGTGCATGTGCGCCCAAAATCCCAAGAGGAAAATGGAAGAGAAGGGATTGGAGTGTAGCCACCACCCTGAGGGGTGATTTCTCACCTTCTGTTGTCTCTGTCTCTCCAGTAAATATACATGCCCTACCACAAAAATCTCTCTAAACAAACAAACAAAAATATCCAGGACCAGCAGGTGGCATAGTAGTTAGGGGTGCTGAACTCCCACATGGCCAACTGAAGTTCGAGTCCCAGACCTGGTGGCTTGCTTTCTCACTTTACTCCTCTCTCTCATTCTGTCCCTCTCTGGTCAAATTTTAAAACAAATAAATAAGCAGATGAAAAGATGCTCAATATCCCAAGTCATTAGAGAAGTACAAACTAAAACAATGAGATACAGGCGAGCTCTGTGGCCTAATGGTTAAGGAAGCTAGATCTCAAGTGGCCAACTACGTGGTTTGAGTCCTGAACCCTATAGCTTCAGAAATACACCAGGTGCATGTGTGTGCGTACCCCAATCCAGGAATGGGGGAGTGAAGGAGAAGAGATTGCAACATAACCATTCCTCATAGGAAATGCTTTCTCCTCTACCTTATTTCTCACTGATGGAGCATTCATGCTCTCTAGCAAAAAAGAAGACAACCCCCCCCCCAAAAAAAAAAAAAAAAAACACAGAAAGATACACCTATTCTGAATAGCAAAAATCCACAACACTAGCTGCGCCAAATGTTGGAAATGATATGTACAGTACAATAACAACAGGAACTATCATCCATTTCTGGTAGAAATGCAACTTTTTATCTACATTTTTTTAAAATAATTATTTTATTTTTATTTATTTATTCTTTTTTTTTTTTTTTTTTAATTTGACCAGAGAGAGACACACAGAGAGAGAAAGAGAGAGGGAAAGTGAGAAAGTGAGCCAC